TTTTTCTTATTTTTTTGTTGAGAATAACTCAATTAAGGTTCTTATCATGACCCCGGTTCCGCGTTTGCTTTTAGATTTTCAGGCAGTTCCGGCAATGTCGCAATGAATAAAGGGCATTTTTTCTACAAATTCTTGTAAAAAAGCAGCTCCATTGGAAGCCCCCATGTAGCGGCTGCTACTAATATTGCTGATGTCAGCAATGGTAGTGTTTTCTTTTAAGAATTTGGTATTTTCTAGAATGATTGGTAATTCTCAGTATCTTTCATGTGATTTGGCAAATGCTTGTCTCAGTTCACGATAAAATTTTCGGTTATTAGTCAAGACACCGGTCAAATTTTCCCCTAATGCTGCCACTACGGCCCCAGTAAGGGTGGCGACTGTGATAATTTTATTGGCCTTTTCTTTTTGAATGGCATAAGTAATTCCGTCAGCCAGAACCAAACGCCCCTCGGCGTCCGTATTATTAATTTCCACCGTTTTTCCGCTCATTGAGGTTATAACCGACTCGGTGAGAGTGGCGTGGCCTCCAATCGCATTTTCGGTCAAGCAAGCCACCGCTATCACATTTATTTTCGGCTTATTTTGAGCGAAAGCCAGAAAAGAAGCACATACAACGGCGGCTCCTGACATGTCAAATTTCATACATTGCAAATATTGTGAAAGTTTTAAATTATAGCCACCACTATCAAAAGTTATTCCTTTTCCCACCAATCCTAGAACATTTTTGTTTTTTTTATCGCCAAAATAGCGTAAAATTACTACCCGTGGCTCGTGATGACTGCCAGCATTAACGGCCAATAATAAACCCATTTTATTTTTAATGATTTGTTTTTTTTCTAGTATCTCTACTTCAATATTTTTAAGTTTGCTTAATTTTTCCTTAATCTGGTTGGCAAATTCCTTAGCATATAATTTGTTCGGTGGAGCATCTTGTAAATCGCGGGCAAAATTGACAGCCGCTAATTTTATTTGTGTTTTAGTCAATATTTCAGCGGCTTTTTTATTTTTCGTTATCAAATAGTAATCACCGCTTTTTTTTGGCTCTATCTTTTCCTTGAAATTTATTGGCTGGTAAGTCCCAAACAATATCCCCTCGCTAATGGCCTGAATTACTTCTTCCTCGGACAAGTTTGGGGAAGTAAAGGACTGAATATCAATGTTTCAACTTCTTTCACTATTGCTGGAAAAATTAACCAAAAAATTGTAAAGGCTGGAAAAATTATAATTGTTATTTTCTTTTTCAACATATAAATAGAGCACTTTTTCCTCAGAAATTAGAGTGGTTTTTCAATGCTTTTTTTCAATTAAAGGATGAGTTTTGCTCTTGTTAGTAATGGCACAGAGAGTCAGTAATTTAGGCTGAGAAGTTTTTTGAGCGAATAATTTAGTCATAACAATTGATAAGTATTATTATATCTTTATTTTTTTATTTTAATTTTCTTGCTTCTTTTTTTTATTATCACTATTGTTCCAATTAATATCACTGATAGGAAAATTCCTACCGGGAGAATTCAGAAAGGAAATTTGTTTTTCTTGTCCTGGATTGGTTGGTTGCTATTTTGAGAGGTTTGTTTAATATTTCGTAATCTATCAATAACTCTGTCTACTCGCTCGTTTTCATTAAGTATTTTATAGGCAGTGGTTTGCTGGTCCTTTTCTCCTGCCAATTCATCGAAAAATGACTGATTAAATTGTTCTTTTTCGATTAAAATCTCCGCAGAGATTAGGGTTTTGAGTAATTTTAAAGCCGCTTGTTTTTCGTCCTCTGTAAGTTGCGGATTATTCTCTATTTGTTGCTTGGCTGGGTCATTATTAAATCTATTTTCAACCTCATCCTCGGAGGGTGGAGGAGCATCATTTTTGTCTTTGTCAGGTGTGGGTGTGGTTGGACCATTTCCATTGTCAGGACTATTACCTGGTCCGCCCGGAGTGCCAGGAGAGCTGGGACCACCAGGACCGGGGCCGCTTCCTCCTTGTTTAGCCTGCCGTTTATTTTTAATGTCGGCTAATATTCGGTCTTTAATCGCCGTAATAGTAGGCAAATCGTTCGCGTGTTGAATCTCGTGGCGTCAATTCTGATTGGCAGTTTCTAATTCACTATTATCTACCTTGGGGTCTTGGGCAAGAGTGCTGTCAATGTCCGAAATGGCAGCATTTTTTTCAGTTAGCAAGGGGTCGGAAGTCTGCGGTTCCTCTTTTCCTTTCAAAATGATATTATCAGAATTATCAAAATTTAATTCTAATTCTTCATAAGTTTTGATAGAAGCAAAATAATCCGCCTTGACAGTGAATTCTTTATTGCTTTTTTTAAAATTGTAATCCAAAATTAGGTTAATAATTTCTAGTTTTGCCTCCTCGCCTTTGAAAATGATTTTTTTCAGCGGGGATTTTTTTGTGTCAGAATTCGCTAATTCCCAGTCTATTGGATCAATTTCCACTTCAACAATCTTTTCAGTTTTTTTGTATTGAAAATTATTGACCGTAAAGCGAATTTCTTGGTTTTTGGAGTTTCAAGAAACAAAAGAACCTCACCAAAATTGTAAATCAGAATATTCAAATCTGGCTATCGTGCCGTAGTCATGAGTGGTAGGAAGCCCAAAAAAAGAAGGAGGCAGTTTTTTCGCAATGGTATTAGCTTGGGTTAAAGCAAAAAACGGTTTTCTGGTTTCAGAAAATAAATCGTTAATCTTCAAAAGACCACTCAAATTCATTAATTTTTTCTTTCTCGCTTTTGGGAAAAACAAATACTAATGTGTTAGCAATCAACCCGCCCATATCTAACCCTTCTGCAAGTTTACATAAAAAGAAAACACTATCTTCTCCGGTGTCTTTTTCTATTGCTGATAATACCTTCCAAGACAAAAATTTAACATTAACAGGATTAATATTAACTGATCCAAATGCCATATTATTAATTTTTCAGCAAAAACTTTAAATTTTATTAAATACACTGCTTTTTGCTAATTAGTTTCCGCTTTTGTTTTTAAATGATAAGTAATTTACTTGAATTTTTGACATTTGAGCGGAAATAAATTTGAAAAATGTTTTACATCCTTTGTGTGGTTATCTATTGATAAGTAATATCTCCCAACCTTCTGCTTAATTGTCGAATTCCTTGCCGGAATGAATTAATGGTTTCTCAAAA